GTTCCTTCCAGCAACAGGCTTGAAGATATACAGTGCTGGCTAATTAACTCGTTAGCTGGCAGGGAGCGAGGTCAAGCTTCAGTCAATACTCAGGGCTGAGAGATCGTCTTGCACACATGTGTGCATCCCAGCGTCGTTCTCTCAGCTCCTGTCTCCGTAGATTCCGGAGCCTGGTCACAGGTGGCAGTGAATCCGATGGTGAATCACTGTGATGCAGCAGAGCCTGATCCTTTGCAGGTGTTTCCTGGGAGGCTCTATCCTCCTCGCTACTTAGGGAGCTTTCTGCTACAGGAGCCAGTCTTTGCCTATAAGTCTCTGCTGCAGTACGTTCCTCAGGAGCCTGTGGTGTCAACTCCACATGCTCCTGGCTGGCAGGTGCCTCATCAGGGGCATCAGCAGGGGCAGGCATGACACTGAGTCCATCTAACACCCCCAAACCCCAGCAGGGGAGAGGAAGCACAATCAAAATGTGGGTTCTCAACCAAGGAACTCACTGGCTAAGCCTTTCTGCTTGGTGTGAGCAGAGAGACGAAGTGGCTTAGAACCCTCAGTCCATCTAACACCCCCAAACCCCAGCAAGGGAGAGCAGTTCACTATCAAAATGTAGAGCTCTGAGCCCACCTAACACCAAAACCCCAGCAGAAGAGAGGAGTTCCCAGGCATGAGGGAATGTGCTCTGCTGTTCCACGTTTAACAAGTTCCGTCCTCTCTGTGTAACTGCAAACAACCAAGAGAAGAGAGGCTGCGGAGCTGAATTTGAGGGGGGGTGTATGTGTATATAGCATTCAGATCCCACAGAGCTGAATGGGAACTCTATTATTAGCAGCCAGCAGTGCCTGTTAAGTTTTGGAGGGATTCTATTGGTGTTTCCAGGGCTGGAGAATTCTGTCCCCTTGTTGCCTTGGAATTTTGTAAACAGTTTAATTGGGCAGACACTATCTGGAAATGTAATCATTCATGAACCGCCACGAACAACACCAAAGTCCACAAAATGTTTGAGTTAGTCACCCTTCCACAAACATTGCTTTGTGAAACACAAACTGGCCAAAATTTGTGATAAACTTTACTTTGTGAGTTGGTTTGTGCCCATCCCTGATTACAGGTATACAAGGCTCTCTTGTATCTTTGGTGAATGTACATGCAAAGAGAAGCTAAAATGCCTGAGATCCATATTATTCCATATTAAGGATATGATTTCTGCATAGGAAGGTGTGATTCCATTGTAAATTAATCTGGAAAACATTTGGTTAATGTTAAGAATATATGTTTGTCCCTAATTTAAAACAGACATCATAAAATCACATTTTAAAAACATAAAAATATGATTGACATGGTAAGCTAACTTATTGGGGGAGGGGCATGGCCTCATACAAAAAAAGATGGCAGCCTATTAGAACTGTACCCCTCCATCCTCACATTTGATCATTTATGTCACAAATCAATTTGACGTAATCAGAGAGATCATGAACTTGAATAAATGGGCAACGTCTATAATTTGGGGAGTGTCTTCAAGAAAGAAGCAGCTTATATTTTTAAGACTTTCCTATTTCAAGACCATTCAACAAAAATGTCCGAAATGATATATAAAATAGTGGAAGTGCAGTCTACATCTTTGTGTATAATCTGACATTAATGACCTGTGGGAAACAATCATGGCACCAAATGTAGTTAAATTCACCTACTTGCACATGTCATTGTTATTCATTTACACAGTTGCTGTAATGTGTAGTTAAATTCGAGTTATATTGCAGTTGGACCAAAAAAGCTGTGATTTTGCAGCCAATCTTTTTGTATTATCTTACAATTAGCACACAGTTTTCCTATCCAGAAAGCAAACTTCCAATTTAATTGAAGTTGCTGTGGGGCCAGAGAAAACCATCCCCTTCAAAAAAGATGAAAGTAATTCATTCGTCAGGTTAATTGATTTTGAAGGTTCTTGTAAATTGAAAACTTCAAGTTATGACTAATTGGGGGGGGGACTAGTTTGGTGTTCTGGAGACATAAACCTTAAAAAGAGAAGCCAAGACTCTCCTTTTCCCTTTCAACCCAGAATATACCCCAATGTTTATTAATAATCCTATTCTGAGAATCAAATCTGACAAAAATTGGCAGATGAATCAAACGTCCAACTTCACACAGATTGTTAGAACAAAAACAAAATCCTAATCATTGATTTTTCATGCTGTGCATTTCAGAGCATGTTAAATTCCTTTATTAAAGCAGTTTATTACCTGTGCGTTTATTCTGTGTTTTAGGAACTAACTAGGACATTTACATATGAATGATGTTCTTTATTGCTTCATTTAATTGTATTAAACAGAGGATTGCTGTAAGGTGCTTTATTAGCTTCATAAAGAAAAGTCATTTTGAACTTGTTATTAAGTCTCAACAAATGGACACTACAGCAAGATTTAAATACAATTTTTTTAATTAAGGCAACATCTACAGATTATAAGAGAATTCAACATGCGCTCATAACTCATCACAACAAACTGGTAAAAGTAAAGGAGAAAGTCTCTAAACTTCTTATAATAGTGTTGGTGGTGTGATGTTTAAGGATAAAATGACTTGTTGAGACATGTCAACTGAAAACACACAGAACATACGACAACCCTGATGTAAAGGCTCATTGCATTCACAGATGCTCCTGTGCACATGGGGTATTCCCATGTATGCTGTGGATTCTTTATGCAAGTGTACTGTTCTAATGTACACCTCTGTGAACATGGTAGTTATGCAAACATGGAGCCATGTCCCAAAATTTTGCTAAAGAGATTCATCTGTGCATGTAGGGCTCTTAAGATGTACATTACACTACCTATAAAGTTACGGTTGAAGATGAATGTGTTTTGATTCCTTTGCTTTTGGTCTTCTCCATCAGACCCATGTTAGAAAGCATTACTGGACCATGTGGGGCCAGAGAAAACCATCCCCTTCAAAAAAGATGAAAGTAATTCATTCGTCAGGTTAATTGATTTTGAAGGTTCTTGTAAATTGAAAACTTCAAGTTATGACTAATTGGGGGGGGGACTAGTTTGGTGTTCTGGAGACATAAACCTTAAAAAGAGAAGCCAAGACTCTCCTTTTCCCTTTCAACCCAGAATATACCCCAATGTTTATTAATAATCCTATTCTGAGAATCAAATCTGACAAAAATTGGCAGATGAATCAAACGTCCAACTTCACACAGATTGTTAGAACAAAAACAAAATCCTAATCATTGATTTTTCATGCTGTGCATTTCAGAGCATGTTAAATTCCTTTATTAAAGCAGTTTATTACCTGTGCGTTTATTCTGTGTTTTAGGAACTAACTAGGACATTTACATATGAATGATGTTCTTTATTGCTTCATTTAATTGTATTAAACAGAGGATTGCTGTAAGGTGCTTTATTAGCTTCACAAAGAAAAGTCATTTTGAACTTGTTATTAAGTCTCAACAAATGGACACTACAGCAAGATTTAAATACAATTTTTTTTATTAAGGCAACATCTACAGATTATAAGAGAATTCAACATGCGCTCATAACTCATCACAACAAACTGGTAAAAGTAAAGGAGAAAGTCTCTAAACTTCTTATAATAGTGTTGGTGGTGTGATGTTTAAGGATAAAATGACTTGTTGAGACATGTCAACTGAAAACACACAGAACATACGACAACCCTGATGTAAAGGCTCATTGCATTCACAGATGCTCCTGTGCACATGGGGTATTCCCATGTATGCTGTGGATTCTTTATGCAAGTGTACTGTTCTAATGTACACCTCTGTGAACATGGTAGTTATGCAAACATGGAGCCATGTCCCAAAATTTTGCTAAAGAGATTCATCTGTGCATGTAGGGCTCTTAAGATGTACATTACACTACCTATAAAGTTACGGTTGAAGATGAATGTGTTTTGATTCCTTTGCATTTGGTCTTCTCCATCAGACCCATGTTAGAAAGCATTACTGGACCATCAGAAGGACAAATGAGCAACACTGGTTTCATCTCACTGACTGCCATCAGAATATATAGTTGCTGAGTGTTGTCTCAAATAATATGATTATACTTGTCAGAAACATGAAAACAATCATGTTGATTTAACCACATTAATAACACAAATTTGAGATGCATAAGATTTACAAGGTCAGTTACCACTGCTCCAATCCCAATCCACTGTGAAGAGCCTTCTACAAATTACACATTCATTTTAATGACAGTTGGGAAGATAATTTTGCTGCTTAGTTTCTGACGGTGATACATATGAGTGCTGTTTTGTAAGACATCTCCGAAGAGCAGTGATTTTTTAAAAAAGCACTTTCTGCTATCTTTCTACAAATATATGTGTAGTACTTATAATAACCCCAAAGCTGAAAGAGTTGAACTTTTCCTCCTTTCCAACAGAGAATTATTTTATCATGATTTAATCTGCCATGTGTTTTGTGGGGGGTTTGGGATGCTATATTACTTGCACCAAAATGAAACCCATTTTGCTGAAGCCATTGGACTCTAAACTGTCAAATACAGGGATAAAGGACACAAGTGAATCTTGTTCAGTAAACAAAGCATCAAATCCAGTCTTCTTTCAAAAAGTTGTTTATTCTGACAGAAGATTTTGAGCATAGGAAAGCCGGAATAGAAATCTGTATTCCAGTTATATTATATTCCATAATATATTCCAATTATATATATAAATCGGCAGTGTCCTTTCTGTTCCATCAGGAACAGATAGGTTACACTAAAAGCAAGCTGCTAGAATGGATTGTTTGTGGTGTGTGCTCCACAAACCTTTCAGGAAGGACATTACCACAGTGAACTCCAATCATTAGGCTTTGGGAGCTAGCCTAGAATAAGATCAGGTTTGCAAAGTGGCAGCTTTCTGGATTCTAAGAATGTGCTGGGACAATTGAAGGGCTTTGCACCAGAATAACAGACTGTATGGTTTTTTTGGGGGGTAGCATTTGTATTTTGCAGAACGTCTTCTTAAACTTTTGGCAATTATTCCTTCGATTCCAGATAACTTCTAATGAGAAACACAGTGAAACCTTGAAGAATGATGGAGATATTCTTGTTCACACGCTAGAAAAATTGGCCCAAACTGGCAGGTGAGTTCCCTTAGGCTTTCTGGAATTTCCAGGTTATATGCACATTCCTCCTCTTTCATCTCTCTGTAATCACCTCAGACAGTACAAGCGTCTTGTGTTACCAGCCCACCCCCTCCTACACAGTACTGTCCTCAAAACTCTTTTATTCAAAGCTTTCTAGTAGGGTTTTTGGGTTTTTTCGCTAATCTTGTTTTGATCCCCTGATGTGGCTGGTCAGGGCTATGTGACACAATCCCCCCCCCCCCTTCTTCTTACAACATCTCTCTTCATAACCAGATACCAGTCTATTGTTCTTGCACGCTAGCAAAAACAGCTCCTTTTCCTTCTTGGTAAAAAAACCCGTAGTGGTGAGCATGAATCCCTTTCAGATGTAGAGGTGAGGAAAGATGTGGCCTGTGTGTCTTTTTTTTTTTTTCCCTTTCCTTTGGTAACAGCTTGGAGACCTGAACACATTCTCAGATCTATCCAAGATGCTTGGGCTGCAGCAATACAAAGGAGGATTTCTTTTTTATTTGTTTAGGAAATGTTCATGCTGTCTCTCCAGGGAACCTGCCCAAGTCGACTTACAAAATAACACATAATAAAACCATAAAACATTGAAAGTTATTAATTTAAAACACATTAAAACTCAATTCAGAGATAAAAACATAAATCATTGAGTCGTTTAAAATGAATGTAACAGTTTTCAGGGTAAAAGCACACTATAAAAATGTTGCTAAAGATCAACCCCTTAATTAAAAGTCTTGGTAAACAAAAACATTTTGACCTGGTGCCAAAGGAGAGTAGCCTTCCATAGGTGAGCTGCCAACAATGAGGGGAAAAACCTGTCTGGGGTTGCTACCCAACTAATTCTAATGGTGAAGACTTGAAAAGCGGGGTGTAAGAAGATCTTTGCTGGCAAGCCAGAACATAAGAACATAAGAACATAAGAGATGCCAATGTTGGATCAGGCCAAAGGCCCATCCAGTCCAACACTCTGTATCCCACAGTGGCCATAATTAGCCAGTTTTTGATCCATAAAAGGACTTGTCCTTTTATCCCATGATTTTTGAGCTTACTTAGGAGCCTTTGATGAGGAACTTTATCAAGAGCCTTTGATGAGGAACTTTATCATAAGCCAGGCACTATGTGAGGATACAGCAAGTAAAGTTCAGTTCATCCAAACCAATGGTATCTTCTGCAAGCCTTCTACACATGCTTACTTCCAGAACTGCTAAGCAGTGGCTTGTGCTGACTCGAGATTCTGCATAGTTGAGCAGTGAACCACCATGATGTCTGTTCCTGGTGCCAGCTTAACTGCATTTATTGTGCCCCTGGGTAAAGACCCTTACACTTGGTTCTGTGGAAGGCATTGTCATGGGATGCAATGCATATTCTGGAATAATTTGAGTGTGAATCCCAATATCTTGAGCAGACCTTGACATAATTTTTTATATAAGTTATGCATTGCTGTGGCTTCTGTGCAGTCCCACATGGAGACTGCAAGATTGCAGGCCTGCCGCAGAGAAGAGCTTCCAAGCTTTTAAAGAAGTGTCTAGGCTCTAGGAGTACCCCCCCTCCCCCCTGTTTGCAGAGATCCCTTTCCTGCCCAGAGGGTCACATGACAGAGGCAGGGCAAGCACTCCTCCCTCAGTTCTCTTCTTGCCACTGTGAGGAGAGGACGTGCTTCCAATACAGCTGCTTCATAGGGCCTCAAAGATGAATTCCGGTGAGGTTTTCCATGAAGAACTTTAAAAACTTTTACCTACAAAATCGGTAGGATGGCTCTTTTCAAAAAGTGTGAGGATTGTGGAGTGAAAATGGCCCAGAATGACGATCATAGCTCGTGTCTTCTGTGTCTGGGAGAGGGCCACAACATGGCTACTTGTCCAGCATGCCATTGACCTACCCCTAAAGCCTGAGAGGGCAGAGCAGCAAAACTAAAAGCTGCTTTATAGTTCAGTTCAGTTTATTGTAAATAGTCATTGGCCATTATAAGTTTACAAAACCCTCAGCAGAGAAAAATACAGATTGTATACAAACTATACAGAAGTGGGTTCCAAGAGCACACCAGTGCCATCTCCTGATGACACAGTTGGTGAACCATCAGCTCCATCACCCAGGGATGACCTCAAGATGTATTACAAAGAAGCTAGTCCGAATGGCAAAAGCCCTGGGGTTAGCGTTCCACACTTAAGAACCTCAACCGCCCAACCCTGTAATGAAGGTGTTATACAGTCCTGACTCAGGACCCGTGGTTCTCCCCATGCTACAGGGGATGCAAGGTATATCCATGGCTATCCATGGCCATTTGGGCCAAGCCAGCCTCATCAAAAAAACTAGAAAACCTATACAGGATCAGAGGACTGTGACTAGTTTCGCCAACCCCAAGCAAACTCCATGCTTTTGGAAGTCCTTCCTTCTATGGGAAAGGCGGGTAGCCATTCATCCCCTCAGGACAGGGAGAGCAGGAGACTGGACTTGTTGGGAAGGAAGACCTACTCATCTTGCGCAATGGGACTGAGGGTGGCTAATTTCACAGCGGTCATGGGCCACTACCAAATGTTACTATGGGAAAAGATGACAGTTTGTAGAAATGTTACCTGCAGACAAGCAAACCATAGCAAAGACCCTCATTTCAGAAGGCGAAAAGGTAGGAAAGCAGCAGCTGAATGCTGCCAGACATGGAGCCAAATCATAGTACGTCAGTGGTCTCTGGCATCGTCATAAGGAGACACTCCTGGTTCCACTCTTCAGCCCTCCCACAGGATACGAGGGCAAAAATAGAAGACCTCCCATTTGAGGGTCGAGACCTCTTTAGTGATCAAACTGATATGATCTTGGACTGAATTAGAAAGAACAAGTTGATAGCTAAGTCTCTGGGCATAACTCACAACTCAATGACACTGTTAAGTGAAGGTATTTCGTGAGGCATGGTCAGAGGTATCACCAGCCAAGGTCCTATTGTGCCCTAGATTACAGATACCAGGCTCCTCCACCCTTCCAGCAGGGCTATAGGCCTTACACCCAGCAACCTCAGCCCAAGAGGCCGGGCAGACTATGGGGAAAGAAGCCCTCCCAGTCCCCTAGGGACCAACACTCTAGAAGTGCCCTGTCAGCCTGACTGAGTTCAGTAAAGTTCTTTTCAGAAAGGTTATCAAAGTTCTTTTGCAGTTGGTGCCAAGTTACGAACGACTAGTGGGTTTTGTCCATAATAAAAAAGAGGTTACTTTTTGGAGTTCAATTCACTGCCTCCTTTTCAGTGCTCACCAGTTCCCTCCTGCAGCCCATCGCCCTTCTTAACACAAGAGGTTACTTCCCTCTTGGCTAAGGGGGGCCATTACAGAGCTCACCACCTCTGCAAGGGACTCAAGAGGTTTCTTCTCCAGGTACTTTGCCATTGACAAAAAGGGGGGAGGAAAGAGGCCTATTTCAGACCTAAGTTCCCTGAATAAAAAAGTCAAAGTTCAGAATGTTATCCATTCAGGAAGTAATGTCTCTCATGGGTCCAAATGTCTGGTTCGCTACCCTGGACCTGAAGAATGCCTATTTCCGTGTGTCCATTCACAAAGCCTGCAGAAAATTTATCCTTACCTGGATGACTGGCTCTTTGTAGAAGACTCCCTAGGTAAACTGAGAATTTAAGGTTTGCTCTAGATGCAATCCAGTCCCTGGGTTTTCTGGTAAATTGGGAGAAGTCCCGCCTGACTCCCATCCAGTCTATTGACTTTATTGGGACATCTCTAAATGCCATAGAAGGAAAGGCATGCTTGCCCCTTCCAAGGGCCAGAAGTATGATAGCCCTTGTACAGAAGTTCTTATCCAACAGATTTCAATCAGCCAGATGCATTCAGAAACTTCTGAGCTATATGGCTTCAACTACCACAGTGGTCCCATATGCACATTTACATATGAGGTCATTACAAAATTGGTTTATAAGGAATTTTGACTCCAGTTCTGAGCCTCAGTGGAAACAATCATCCGTCCCAAGGGCCATTTTAAAATCTCTTATCTGGTGGTTTATTGCTGACAACCTCCTCAGAGGAATCCCTCTAGGGGTGCAATCTCTTGATGTGCATTTGTTTACACACACTTCCCTCACTGGGTGGGGGGGCTCATTGTCAGGGGGACTAAGAGCAAAGCGGTTATGAACTAGGAAAGAGTCCACCCTTCGTATCAGTCTGTTAGAGTTGAGGGCCATCAAACTTGCTCTTACTTCATTTACAGATTCATCAGAGGACGTCATGTCCCGGTAGCAATAAGACACAGGGTGCAGCTGACAGCTGTTTGCATAGCTAGTCTAGACAACACCCTCGCAGACAGCCTGAGCAGGGACACAAACGTAAATCAAGAGTGGTCCATATCAAACCACTCTCTGGTAGTCTGGTTTCCCTTGCTCGAAAGCTAGTCAAATCCAACTACCTGGCCCCAATTGTCAGAATGGTTCCCCCCTCCCCCCAAAATAGACCTCTTTGCGTCAGCAGACAAAAAGAAATGCCACCTCTTGTGTTCCAGAGCAGCCAGGGGCAAGGATTCACGGGGGGATAACTTCCAGTGGTGATGGCATGACCATCTTTTTTTAATATCCCCCCCCCCTTCCCTCGCAGACAGCCTGAGCAGGGACACAAACGTAAATCAAGAGTGGTCCATATCAAACCACTCTCTGGTAGTCTGGTTTCCCTTGCTCGAAAGCTAGTCAAATCCAACTACCTGGCCCCAATTGTCAGAATGGTTCCCCCCTCCCCCCAAAATAGACCTCTTTGCGTCAGCAGACAAGAAGAAATGCCACCTCTTGTGTTCCAGAGAAGCCAGGGGCAAGGATTCACTGGGGGATGACTTCCAGTGGTGATGGCATGGCCATCTTTTTTTAATATCCCCCCCCCTTTTTGGCATTCTACACAAAGTAGTTTCGAAAACAAAAGCAGACCATACCTCATGCATCCTTCTGTCCTCCTGCTGGCCCAGGAGAACATGGTTCCCCGCTGTGGAAACTAGCCAGAGGGTCCCCCCAAAGGAAGATCTCCTATACATTAGCCCCATTCGCCGCCTAGAAGTGGGACCATTGCCCCTAGTCGCTTGGCTAATCCTTCAGTAGGGAATTTTTCAAAAAAAAGTAGAGCAGGTCTCTCGTAAACCCACAAGGAGGTCCTATGAGTACAAATGGAAAAGATTTGTGTTGTGGGGGGGGACAGGCAAGGGTTCGACCCATGATCCTGAAGTTTGAACATAATTGAAAAGAAGGTGGCTTAGCTGCATAATGGATAAAAGTTCACCTAGCTGCCATCTCTGCTTACCATGACCCACTTATAGAGCAACCAGTTTTTTCTACCCCTGAATCTAAAAAATTGAAAAGGTTAGCTTAACATCTTTCCACCTGTTGTACCCCTGGTTCCCCAATGGAGTTTGTCACTAGTTCTATCAAAATTAATGTATACACCATTTGAACCTATGGCCAGTTTTGATTTGTTCTTTATTTCATGCAAGACAGCCTTCCTAGGGGCAGTCACGTCTGCTAGCAGGGTGGGAGAACTACGGGCACTTCACTGTGATCCTCCTATCAAATTCCAACCAGCCAAAGTAGTCCTCAGACCCAGTATAGAGCTTCTCCCCAGGGTGGTGGCAGTTTCACCTTAACCAAGACATCAACCTTCCAGTGTTCTTCCCATCCCTGACATGGTTCAAAACAAACATTCCACACATTAGATGTGAGGAGGGCACTCCTATTTTATTTAAAGATGACACAATAATTTAGGAAAGACAGAAACGTATTTATATGTTCCCTTCCACTTGTTGTACCCCTAGTTCCCCAATGGAGTTTGTCACTAGTTCTGTCAAAATTAATGTATAAACCATTTGAATCTATGGCCAGTTTTTATTTGTTCTTTATTTCATGCAAGACCGCCTTCCTAGGGGCAGTCACGTCTGCTAGCAGGGTGGGAGAACTACGGGCACTTCACTGTGATCCTCCTATCAAATTCCAACCAGCCAAAGTAGTCCTCAGACCCAGTATAGAGCTTCTCCCCAGGATGGTGGCAGTTTCACCTTAACCAAGACATCAACCTTCCAGTGTTCTTCCCGTCCCTGACATGGTTCAAACATTCCACACATTAGATGTGAGGAGGGCACTCCTATTTTATTTAAAGATGACACAATAATTTAGGAAAGACAGAAACGTATTTATATGTTCAGGGGAGAGCTGCATCGGCACAGTCTCTCTCTAGATAATGATCAGCCCACCACCTCCTCCTCTGGTAAGTGAGCTTGCTATTCTCTCACATGGGACTGCACCGAAGCCATGACAATGAAAATGGGGTTGCACTTACCTGTAATCGTTGTTCATCAAGTGGCCTTCTGTGCAGGCACACATCCCTTCCCTTCTTTCCCCACTGTGGGCTGCTGACCGAGCAAAGGTCTCCTCACGGCAGCTAAGGGAACTGAGGGAGGGGTGTTCGCCCCACCTCTGTCACGTGACCCTTTGTTTGGGCGGAAAAGTAATCGCTAAAGAGGGGGGGGGGGAAGCACTCCTAGAGCCTAGAAACTTCTTTAAAAGCTTGGAAGCTTTTCTTCACGGCAGGCCTGCAATCTCGCAGTCCCCATGTGTGCCTGCACAAAGGCCACTTGATGAACAACAGTTACAGGTAAGTGCAACCCCATTTAATATTCTATGGCAACATTAACTTTTTATGTATTGAGAAATGTGTTTTGTTACTTCCATCCAGAACATTGTGGGAGGCATTCTTCCATGGCTCTTTATTCTCCTAAGAATAGTAGCTTCTTACCACAGCACCTGTGGAGCAACTTATGTGTTGTCTCCATAGCTATCAGGCTTTGCTCTTTGTGCTGATATAAACCAGTTATCTAATACCATTGGTATATACACACAGCCATATGTGGAAGCCAGTTTTCATCATATCACATAGCCAACACAAATGTGGATGCACATCTGTTTTCCCATTGTGCCACTCACCCATGGTCACAGACATAACTGGGTGCATCTTTTGATGCAAATACAAGTTCCATTGCTTTCCTGTAGCTAATCATTCTAATTCCTCTTATGTAAGGAAACAAAACTTCATTCTAACAACACACGGTTCTGTGTTTATGCCAGTTTCTTGTCCCAAGAAGTGCATGATCACTTTTACAACTTGTCTTTAACAGAGCCCTCATACCCCTCGTGTTTGTTTCTCATACATACACAATCTACTTTAGAGATGCTGTTTGAAATGGCTTGTGGGTGGAGCTCATTTTTATTGGCATTTGGCCTCTTGTTAAGAGTGCTTTTTAGATTTCTTTTAAATAACACTGTGCTTTTACAGCAGAGCTTGTAATTATGGTTTAGATGTACGTGTTCTCTTCTGTGTGTTCTCTGATACTCAAAATATCTAAAAGGCAGGAAAGACCCAATTTTGCATGAATGGGAAGGCTCCTGGCTCCTTCCAGGCCGTTGGCATTTACAGTTTAGGTTTTTAATGAATTGATCTGTGACTTCTGTGGAGTATATGGGCAATATCAAGACATAACATCAGTTTTTTACACCACCACACCCAGTATGAAATGGACTTGAGTACAGAATGATATCTAACCTTTTACTACTAAAAAGGTGCTCAAGTTTGAGAAAAGCTTGGGCAGGTAATGTCAAAATGGCCCTCACTGTGTCTGCTTAGTTCAAATCCAGAGGAGGGCAACAAAGATGGTGAGGAGTCTGGAGACCAAAAGTCCTATGAGGAAAGGTTGAAGGAGCTGGGTAGGTTTAGCCTGGAGAGATGACTGAGAGGAGATATGATAACCATCTTTAAGTACTTGAAAGGATGTCATATAGAGGATGGTGCAGAGTTGTTTTCTGTTGCCCCAGAAGGTCGGACCAGAACCAACGGGTTGAAATTAAATCCGAAGTGTTTTTGGCTAAACACTAGGAAGAACTTCCTGACAGAGTAGTTCCTCAGTGGAATGGGCTTCCTTGGGGGTGGGGGGTCTCCTTCTTTGGAGTTTTTCAAACAGAGGCTAGATGACCACCTGACAGCAGTGCTGATTGTGTGAATTTAGGCAGATCATGAGGGGAAGGGCAGGATTAGTGCTTAGTTCTTATGGCCCTTTCTTACATGCCCAGGGAAATGTTGATCACCACTTTGGGGTCAGGAAGCAATTTTTCTCCAGGCCAGTTTGGTTGGAGATCCTGGAGGTTTTTTGTCATCTTCTGGACATGGAACAGCAGTCACTGGGGGTGTGGAGGGGGAATATTTCCTGCATTGTACAGGAGGTTGGACTAGATTACCCTGAAGGTCCCTTCCAACTCTATGATTCTGAGTGTATTTACTTTCTCACAATACAAGAACTTGTGGGAACTCAATGAAATTGCTGAGCAGTTGGGTTAGAACAGATGAAAGGAATTCACTGCCACAGGAGGTGGTTGCGGCTACAAGCATGGACAGCTTCAAGAGGGAACTAGATAAGCATATGGAACAGAGGTCCATCGGTGGCTATTAGCCACAAGGTATAGATAGGAACTCACAGGCTGGGGCAGGTGATGCACTGTATTCTTGGTGCTGGGGGGGGGGCAACAGTGGCAGGGCTTCTAGTGTCCTGGCCCCACTGCTGGACCTCCTGCTGGCACCTGGTATTTTTGGCCACTGTGTGAGTGTGTTGGACTAGATGGGTCATTGGCCTGATCCAACATTGGCTTCTCTTATGTTTACTTTGAGGTGAACTGGTTAACTTCTGCTTTCTCCCCCACCCCACTATCTGTATCTGAGATCTCTACTTCCCCTTGACTAGCACTGCTCTGTTGTTTAAATTTACACTAAAAATGACCATGGATTTCATTTGGGCTGTCAGTTCATTTGTATTGCACTTTGAAGCGTGCAATTTAATTATGAACCCTTTTTTTTTTTTACAAACATGGTAATTGCAACCTGAATAGCACAGACTGAGTTCATCACAGCATGGAAAATGAGCATGCTCATAGTGCTTGGATGGCAGATCAGCAAGCCATTTTCCCTTGACTAGCACTGCTCTGTTTAAATTTACACTCAAAATGACCATGGATTTCATTTGGGCTGTCAGTTCATTTGTATTGCACTTTGAAGCGTGCAATTTAATTATGAACCCTTTTTTTTTTTTACAAACATGGTAATTGCAACCTGAATAGCACAGACTGAGTTCATCACAGCATGGAAAATGAGCATGCTCATAGTGCTTGGATGGCAGATCAGCAAGATTAGAGTTACTGTTCAGAGGAAGGCAATGGAAACCCACCTCTGTTCAGCTCTTGCCTTGAAAACTGCCATGAAGAGGGATGCAATACAACACTTTATTATAGATGCACCACAGTTTATAGCATTACTGCTGTACTATTTTGCTTATAACAGCCTTTGGTGATTTGTGTGTTTTTTGTTTATAGATTGGGATATGAACTGCAAGTTATCTATCCTGGGGTGATGAACTGTTATTATTCTCTTGAGAGATATCTGTGTGCTAGAAGTAGGCATCTGTTCAGGCATAACATTTCATACCAATATGTGTTAATCCTTCCTCTGTGTGCCATTTCTTTACTGATGGGGAGGGGCCGAGACTCAGTGGTGGAAAGACCTCTGCCTGAGAATCTGGGCAGCCACTAGTAGATGTAGTGAATAATACTGACTTTGATCAACCAATGGTCTGGCTGCATATAAAGACACCTGTGTTCACCTTAAGATGAAAACAAGCCCTCAGCTTATTGTATAACCAGTTTTAGAGAGGCAGAAGTAATGGATTAAGGAGATATGGAGTTCTTTTTTTAATGACTGAGTAAAGTCACTTTCTGCCTTCCTAAAAATATTTTGAATGAAAGCTCACGTTTCCATGTGTAGTCATAATATGCTTCCTGTTCTCGCCTTTGAGGTAGACCTATTTCACTAACTGTTGGTTTTCCCCTCCTTTTGTTAGCTCCCATGCTGATATAGTAATTTCTTCCTTGGCTTCTGAAATCCTGAAGAAAATTGAACACCATTAAGCCTCCTTCAACTGATGCCACTAAAAAACTTGTAAGTTTGCTTGAGATCCGCAGGTGTAACATCGCTTTTCCTAATAAAATGTTCTTGCTTGTGGCCTTGTTACTTCTGTTTGTGCCATACCCAGGTTGCTAGCAAATGTTACCTGAAAGCAGCTTCTGTTGTTCATGTGTCCTGTTTTTCACATCTAGGTCTCCAAATGCGGGTGAAGTAATTTCATGTTATACAGACTGCATTTTCTGCCCATCTTTTCTGGAATATGTAAGCCTGTGTATCTACTCAACTTAATATGCTACTTAGAAGTTAGTTCCAAGTCTCCTTGACAGTGGTGATTACCAGGTTATCTCTTCCTCTAGCCACAGAATTTAGCTATGGTTATAAGAAAAACAGCATGGATTTATAATCACATTTGAAATAGTTTCAGAGGAGGCAGGCATGCTGGTCTACAGTAGCCCCGCAGAGACCAACAAGATTTCGGGGATATGAACTTTAGAGTCAAAGGTCTTAGGAGCGTTGACTCTCGAAAGCTCACACCCCAAAATCTTGTTGGTCTCTTGAGGTGCTGCTGGACTCTAATCTAGATTATCTGTTTTCATTTCTATAGCACTCAATGCTTATAAGCAAATGCAGATTTATCAAAACAGTTTATGGGAATAACCATAAATGTGAAGAGGTGTGTGTAGGTTTAATAGCCTGAGGCTACAGGGAAACACCTGGGCCTCAGTACAGTAGCACCTTAGAGACCAGCAGGATTTGAGAGTCAAAGCTCGCTTGGTCAGACACAGTCTGCACCTCAGCCTGTCACAGAGGATTAGTGGCAGCATCTCTGGGCCCATTTCACGTACCTGCACTCAAGCTGATACCCTATAGGGTAAGACAGGAAGAACAGAAAGGGATACAGGATGAAAAGATAGTTTGATATTGCAACTGGAGGTACTGAAAAAAGGAAGCCAGCTGTATGTACAGGGCCACAGCTGGCTCTTTCCCCTGCTGTGGGTGCTGCCTGGCCTTTCAATTGTCTGAGTCAAAAGAAAGGAGCGGGGTTTTCTTGGAACCTTTAAAAAAGATATGAGTGTTAGGAAACCCTGGCAGAACTGGGCTGGGTAGAGGCAAAGCTAAAATGCAGATCAGCACTCAAGGCCCAAGGATTCGTGGGGAGTTACCACTATTTCAAGACATAATCTGGCAGAGTATTTCACGTAAACATTTAAATGTCTGTTTCTCCATACTTGACCAAGATCTAAAACGCTGAGAAGCTTACATTCAGTGGCACTTGTCCCCACCCAACTTCTCTCCTACTACACAGTGCATGCCTTTGCTGAACAACTAATCATATTTTGTTAACCAAAGGTCAATCATCTTAAACATTAAGGAAATAACTTTACAAAGTGAATTAAAAACTTCACACAAGGTGAATTAAAAGTTTACTTTAATTCTGAACCATTTGTATAAGTGTTCTCATGAAGCATCTATATCACAGCAGGCTACAATAACTTTGGGATAAAAGGCAACTGGTAAGCTGTCCAATACAAGGTTCCATACAACTGTTCTTACTGGCCCCTACCCAGACATCTCCAGATAAAGTTTTTGATCAAAAACATGAAATAGATCCACCTGCTTATTTTAAGCATATTAAAAAGGAAACTAATTGGACCATTTCTATTTTGTCTAATTTTTATACAAAAAGGCTACACAATGTTACACTTTTCAGAATACAATTAGAGTGATTATGAATTAGTGTTCTACACCATTACTCGATCCTTAAAAATCAGAAATTGCTGTAGCGTATTCACTATAACTTAAACACAGACTTAAACCCTACAGTTACTGCAAAAAAGGAACTACTTTCAAAGCAAGCAAGGTCAGTACCATTACAGAGATTTTAAAAATTAAAAAAAGTTTTAAACAAGCAAGGCTAGGGTTTGATAAATTCCATCTTGTGATTCATTCTTGTGCATTCTTCGTTTCGTGAGTCACTCCCCAAATCCATTTGTTACTCCTCGACCAAAAGGACCAGAACAAAAAGTTTACTTCAGTTGTTCCCATAGGAAACTCAGCTTGGTTAGTGTGTCAGGCACTTTCTGAGATACTAGCCCACCCCTCGAGCCCTCTCAGCAACTCTACAGGCCAATCACAATGCAAGATCATTCAGACAATACAGCTGTGTAGGAGAAAAAATAAGAAAGGAACAGTGAGTGTTAGGACTCAAGGTATGGTTAACTCTTGTTAACGAGTTGCATCAAGCCTGCAGCACAGAACACCTACGTTAATCCACTTTCACAGATCGCATCATGAGTCAATTTGAATGCAGGTACTGCAAGCTTGACACTTGGATCTATGACTACACACAGACCAACCCACTCAAGCCATTCCCTCCCTGCCAGCCAAGTTCAGTTTGGTAGGTAGGTGTAGGGGGAGCTTCTTACCTAACGGACGATTTACAGGTCAGTATCGAACCAGGCCAACTGATTACTGTCACCTGGAGGCAACCCATCCATAAGGTCCTGGGCATGTCCTAGATCTGGCAGCCCATCAACTGGGTAGTCAGCACCAGGGTGGTGGCCACCCATTTCATGTTCCATCATTGGGTCCATACCCAAGGCATCCTGACCGTATCCTCCAGAGTGGAAAGAACGGTAACTAGGATCTATGAAGGTTAAGGGTGGCAGAGGAGAGGGGGAAAAAGCATGTTAACATGTTAGATGCATCAGAAGCTCCAATATCAGTGTGTGAGATTATTTTTTATAATCCAGCCTCCTTGAAGTTACATTTTATGGGCTGAACTTGTATGGACAAAATGGCAGGCCATTAAGTACATTTGTGTGGCTGTGCCAATAAAGCATGCTGCCATAAGCCAATTTGAGCCAAGCCATTAGTTTGCATACTCCTGAAAACCTATCATAAGCCAATCTGAGCGAAGCCATTAGTTTGCATACTCCTGAAAACCCAACATTTCTATAATGCACACCAAACTAAACTAAAACCTTCACACATAGAGGCACTTGCAGTCTTTTACCAGCCTTTAAACCATTTACACAATCAGCACATATTCAAAGAAAATAGCACATCAGGCATTGTTCAAGCGTTAGAAAACAAGCAATTCATAATGCCTTGGTGAGACAGTTTCACTGAGGCTGTTTCAGACATGTTGAGTGTCACTGTTTCCTTTAACAGAACAACTAACAGATTAGATGGCAGTGTGAGCTAAGTATGCTTTCAGATCTCCATTAGAGGAATTTTGATTAGATTTGGTTTACTATAAGAAGACAACTGAACAATTTATACATACCATCTGGGCGATATCCAAGAGGTTCTCCCTGGGCACCAATATCAAGTGCAAGATCAGCAGTCTGCAGAAAATATGTAGATGACTGAGTACTGCAGTAGATGTAAGCAATCTTATCCCAATGCAAATGTATTTAATTTGATTCATATCCCACCCTATCCCAGAAGCGGGTTCACGGTGGGTAACATAAAAACTAAGACAAGTTTAAAATGAACAGGTAATAGCAATGATGGCAACAAAACAGACAATTCAAATGCCTCCTGCAGCTGACTGTCTTCTAGCAGGGTCAGTTTGGACAAAACACAATGACAAAGATTGGACGCCCGCACCTCAACGGAGGACCCTGAACTCTGTACAGAATGGATTGGATGCCCGCACCTCAACGGAGGACCCTGAACTTAGGTGGGAGCATGTTCCACCAGGCCAGGGCAGAAAAGGCCCTGGTTGAGGCTAAGCAGACGTCTTTCAGGCCGGGGTCTACCAGGAGATGTTGGTCTAAAAAGCACAAGACTCTACAGGGCACATACAGGGGGAAAATGGTCCCCGTAAAGTGTTCCCATTTACAATTTTGTTCTAATGGCTGCCTTGTATTAGAAATGCGTCCAATAGATGCATTTTAGTAGTGACATGAATTACAAGAAAGATTAGGTAGCTGCACACATTTCTGCCATGTAAGAAAGTCTCGTCTGGAGGAAGACATGTAACTTGACCAAGCTGCTTTGCTTGAAGATTTGTGCCAGCACTGCTTGAGACCAAGAAATGTTACTGTGGCTGTTTAATTAAAAAGCTTAATACTGCGTTCTCTAGCATAACCACATCAGATGCTTTAGCAGCAAGCAATTTATCTGAATTTTAGTTAGATCCAAGTGTGTTCATGTTAAATCAGAACACCTTTTGGCAACTAGGAACACTGAATAGCAGCCAGCTGCTGACATATTGGGTGCCCAACCTGAATTCTGTAAGTAAAATTGAGAAGGTTTTAAAAAATAAACCAATCCAGAATCACCCACCTCATTCCAAGCCATTGGTTCAGTCCTGAATAGAGAGCTCGTCAATTCAACTGAAAGTCGTTTCTTATAGTCTTGTGGCTTATCCTCAGACATTCTAAACAACACTGCAGCTGCATATGTTGCTGTTCAAAGACAAGTAAAATCTTAGCAGGGAAAACAGAGAACTGAACCAAGCCCCACACAGACACCCCAGCCCCACTTCACTTACCCACACCCTCATTCCTAGAATGAAGAAGTTCTGTCAGTGGAGCTGTAGCTCCTTCTGCTTCAATGGCTTCTGCAGCTTCCTTATCTTGAGCCAGTTCACACAATACTCCTGCAGCCACTCTCTGAATATTCTCAATAGGGGAATACAGCAGCTGGGTGGTAGAAGAGAACAGAACATTCAAAGATAAGTTGTTCAGATGCATGAGCCATTAAGGCACAAGAACGGGTGGGGAGGGGGGGGTCTGATTATCAGACAAAGACATCATCTCCTTTAACCCAAATCTGCATCAACAATTAAAGAAAGTAACCAAATTAGTTGGTAAGGGCAATTAACTTTAAAAAACAAGAATTCTTGGCCACTTAACCTCCAGCTTGACAGATTTTTAGACCACGTTTTATAAGAATAATTCAAGATTTACACTTCATAATCAAAATCAAGAATTCTATGATTAGTCAAGCCTTTCTTCTTGGCCACTTAACCTCCAGCTTGAGAGATTTTTAGACCACGTTTTACAAGAATAATTCAAGATTTACACTTCATAACA